ACCTTTCTCGAGTGAGGGTTAGTAGACTGTCTAGTTTCCGCTTATATGGTCGGTCAACTCGGGTTGTCGTCACAGGAGTTGATTGAGCACGAATGCAAGGTTTCTTATCCCAATCCCCCAACTCCGCTAATTTTATGTGGAATATTTCTCCACCCAGCCCTATCTCCTAACGTACCAGATTCGTTTACATACACTCCAATGTGCGCCTCTGATCCGATTATGTGTATCATCTCCTCTGTTTTGATGCGGTTTCCGAAAGCCATGCTGCAGCGTCTTACGGCCACTTGGACATCTTGTCATACCTTATCTCTAGAGGTACGAAAGTCGACAGTGCCTCATTTCAACTGATCATAACTTGTCGCAGGTGGCGACGTAAATGTGACCGATGAAGATGGTGAAACTCCCCTCTTTCTGGTTGAAACTATAGAGATTGCTCGGTTTCTTGTTGACAACGGAGCCGACCCTACGTGGAAGAATCACGAAGGATTAACGGTATGGCAAGGTTTCGTTTTCACCATCCACATTCTCCCTGAGACTGTGCTAGCCAGCAACCTCGCTCGAAGAGGAATTCCCACAAGTAGCAGCGTATTTAAATTCCATCACTGCTACCCCTCTCGATTCTCAGCGAGGGCAACCCGAAGGTCGCATTTCTACTCAGCCTCCTTCGCAGCACTCGCAAGAAGCTGCATCAGAGCGTCTTACCTCTTCGCTTATCAGTCAGCTGACGGACCTCGCCCAAAACGATGCGGCAGGGGATGAAAGCGACAGAGACGAAGAACTCGTGCAGGCTGTCAGTCGTGCTGTGCTGGATGGCCTGGCGACCGGGTACACCATGGCGCACGAAGACAACACGGAGACAGTTGACCAGGATTTATTGAACGGAGACACTGCATCCGCGAAACGCAGGCGGTTGAACGGGCACGACGACCACGGTCAGTTGTGAGATATGTTCACACTTCAATCGCGAATTCGTGTAGTCTCAGCAGGATATTTGTTTTTTTTTTTTTTTGAGCGAGAGTAAAAACATGTGTTTAAGAAGATGCGAAAGCTAAACAGACCTGGGAATTGCGGGGTAGAGTCGATCGTACATCGCAGTGATTCTGGGCATTGAAACGTCTCAGGCACGGGACGCTTCGTTGGTTGGGTTACCGTAATGCGAGTGATTGCCGCGGGAACGTCGGTTTACGGTGGCAGGGAATGGTGCCCAGATCTCGCCACAGATGAACTATGGAAGGCGATTCATTGCTCCGTACGTAAGGCTCTACCGGAGAGGCCATCCATCATGACACCTTCGATGTCATGTCCATATTCTGCGAGGAAAGTTCGACACCCAGAGCTAGAATGGAGTTAACCCGAGCGTCTCACGGAATAATATCATCCACAAATCACGCGTGACGTGTCTAACCCCACTTAACCGATACTGACGCCTCAGCCTCCCATCAAATCCTAGCATAGCCCTCTGGCACGAACCCTACCCTCTGACTACTGCAAGTAATTTGTCGTCAACCAGATCTGAGACTCACAGAACGGCATCAATTATCGGGCGTCAATATCGAATCCCAAGGGGACGCGTGTTTTCGTCAGGCTCTCTCTGGACCATCGTGAGTAATCAGTCCATTTTCCATGTCTCGGAGACCGTCGCACTGATATTGGTTTAAGATCCCTATCAGCGCGCTCCACCGAAGTTAGCACGGGCGTTTCCTAGATACATTGTACGAAATATCGACTGTGCAGCATCGCCTAAGCTATGGCCTCATGGGAAAATCCTGTGCCCGTTGCGGCCTTCCTTTCATCTAGCGATCTCGAAAAGCGCTCGTCGTCAGACTCTCAAAATTTCGTCGATGACGCGCGGTCGAGGGCCTATGACGCCGTCTGCGCTCCTCTCACGACGGCAAAGTGGATGGAACGGTGGAGGAGCATGTGCATCATTTCATCCGAAGCTAACGGCGAGAGGAACGATCGCTCCGAACTTCGCGCGGAAACTTGGAGGGCCAATCCGGCGTTTGAGCTTGGCGAGGTAACCATGACACGCCTTGGTACGAGCCCATCTATCCTTTCACGAGCGCCGGTGTTTGCGTCTGCTGATGCGCGTCCACGGATCAGAGGACGCTGAGGGCGTTATTGTGATGGTCTCAGATTGGTTAGAGTTAGATGCCTCGGACAGCTGGGTCAGACACGACTCTGAGATTGTGAGTTTTTTGGCCGTAATACTCTGTGCCTCAGTTTCCCCACACGTTCCGCGCCCCCCCCCCGATGGTTCATCACGGCTGAGTGTCGTTTTACCAGGCTCTACAACAGGAGCTATCTTACGCGTCATACTTGGACGTCCAGACCGTGGTCTTTCCACCGCCCCGGAATCGCAGTCAGATAGCGGCGTACGGACGTGCCGTCAACACCTGCCTCGCGCGGACGCCCTACATGCAAATTTCCATCCGGCTTCCCATCTATGACCTCTCCATCTTCCAAGTCAACTCGCCCACGCGCTCCTCCGCTGGGCTTCCTCGTGACAAATTACCCTCGGGTTCTCCACCGTCCTCTTCGCCAACGACTCCGATTCGCCCACCAGATACCAGGGCCGCGCCGTCCACGAAAGCATCGGAAGCCGAGCTGACTGCCACATGGGAAATGTGGGACGCAATACGGACCATCTGTGCTTATAACCCGCGCTTAACCTTAAGTACTTGCCTTGGTGCGGGTTGGCGTCCGGGATTGTGCCTGACTACCTTTCGCCTCTAGCCCTGGACCTCATGCCGCCTCTGCCGTCCGTACCGGGCGTCTTGAATCGTTGGGCTGCAGAGCCCATCAGACATTTATTCATCCCGGCGTCGTCGTTCATTGCAAATGCGAAGGGGTACCCGGTGCTTCCCAAGGGATCGCAGTCGTTCATTCGCGACGTCATGAAGGTTAGAGAGTGCCATCAAAACACGTCAATGAGCGCCTTCCTGAGTTCTGTTCTTTCCCCTGCCACGTTCAGCATCGCCCCGTGGTCATACTGTCAGATACGAATGCAGGCTTACACGTAAAAGGGGGCGAGGCAGCGTATGTGCAATATGTGCGCCACTTGGATAAGACTAGCCCCGCATTGGTGCAGGCCAAAACGGCGGGCACAGTGGAGAATTTCGCGCGGGGTTATCAGGATTATCTACAAGCGCCTCTACAGGTTGGAGCTGGCGCTATCACATGAACACATGAACAATTGTGCTGACCCCATTCATGATAGCCCCTTATGGATAACTTGCAAGGAATTACTTATCAGACGTTCGAACAAGACCCTGTGAAGTATCAAAAGTATGAAGAGGTAAGTGGCAACTCCAATCAAACGGACGGATATATCAAAGTGCCATCACTGTGCCGTAGGCGGTATACGCGGCTCTATCTGAATGGCCGCCATCAGAGAGGCTGTGAGTCATTATGGTCGTCGATTTGGAGCCATCGCACGTTTGTAATGTCGAAATCGTCTCTAGAGTCATATGCGTCGCGGGCGCCGGAAGGGGCCCACTTGTCGCGCGATGCCTGAGCGCTATATCGCGGGCCAAGCGCGACACATTTGTTTACGCGATCGAGAAGAATCCCAGCGCATATGTAACGTACGTCAAAGTTTACCGTGAACATTTCCCAAAACGGTCGCCACTTACATATCCATGACTTCCTCATTTAGGCTGCAGCAGCGCAAGGCCTTCGAATGGAAGGATCAAGTCGACATCTTATTCGGCGACATGAGGACTCTAACGCTTCCGGAACCTGCGGACATTCTCGTCAGCGAACTGTTGGGCTCTTTTGGCGACAATGAGCTCAGTCCGGAATGCCTCGACGGCGCAACGCGTTTCTTGAAACGTAAGTCTCGTGTGAGATTTTCCTCTACGACCACGGCCCAGTTTCACGGCGTCGACAGCGAACGGCATTTCGATCCCCTCCTCATACTCTGCATACCTTGCCCCGTTGTCTTCGTCCAAACTTTATAACGAGGTTCGCGCGGGAAAGGGCGACACGGCAGCGGAGACGCCGTACGTGGTGATGTTTCAGACGGTGAACATTCTCAGCGGCAGCGGTCAGGTGGGCGAGGATGGGGGCCGGTGCGGCTCACAAATACAGGAATGTTGGGAGTTTGAGCATCCGAGACGTGACGTGGTGCTCGACGAACGAGGCAAGAGCACCCTACCTCGGCGCTGCTCATTCATTCGTTTTGACGCCTTTACGTGTTCTTCTCAGGCTTGCCCGTAACGAACAGCCATAACATCCGGTCTGCGACCTTGACGTTCCATATTCCTCATGCGGGCGTTCTCCATGGGCTAGCTGGCTACTTTGAGGCTGTGTTGTACGGAAAGATCGGACTCAGTATACATCCGAACCGGAAAGAACATATTTCCAAGGACATGTTGAGCTGGTTCCCATTGTTTTTTCCCCTAAGGGTAAGTCGGCCCTGTGTACCGAACACGCTGCCCCCATCCTCCTTTCTTTCTCCTGCCCTGCTCTAACTCAGAGGCGCCGTTCACAGGAGCCGCTGTACTTGCCAAGTAACTCCGAACTGCAAGTGTTCATATGGCGTTTGACGGACCAACGCCAAGTTTGGTACGAGTGGTATGCGGAATCGTTCCTGCCGGTGTTGCGACCTCCGGTAGAGGCGCCGAAAATTGGGCCTTTGCCCAGGGTTGATGGACTCGGTTCCTTTGTGACGGCAACGGCGACGTCCTTTGCACCACCGAGTCCACTGATTGACGCCATCGACAATCCCTTCCAGGTCTCTGGCGATCAATTAGCCAAGGAAGCCACGAAACGAGTAGGGGAGGTCTCCAAAATAGTGACCGGTGTTGTCAAGATTGGACAGACAACGCTACATAATCCTGGGGGCAGGAGTAGTTGGATGGGGCTTTGAGTGTCGTGTCGTATGCATTGTCTCATTACAAAAATAGTGAGAGTGGAGCATCTCACAGCTCGGTTTGGTGTATTACTGTGTTGTATGGATATGACCATGGGGCAATGGGGAAAGAGAAAAAAAAACATCCTTCGAGCCGGGGTCGAACCAGCGACCTTGGGATAGCACTTAACTAAATGTTGCAAATTACAGTCCCACGCTCTTCCAACTGAGCTATCGAAGGCCTGAGGACCTTGCTTAATCGATATATATGACCCTCGGCGCCGTGGCGATCCTAAAAATAGTCAAATCCACTAGTACAGTAGCAGCTATCTTACACTCAAGCGAAATCCCTAGGTTCTCTAAGCTCTCATCCCTTTGATTCGGATGAAACTTCCCCTCGTCAAAGGAGAAACGATGTGGTGCAGTTGCCTGTGAGTGTGTGGATCAGGATACGTTCCCACGGCCTACGTAATGGCTGGCGCGACGTGCCTTTCAAGCCCAGTGCCCGAACCCCAAAGCCGAAGAATGGGGTCGTACGTCACCACCAAAGTCGCGTTCATTGCCCTCTTTCTTCTCAATGCCGTCCTCTGGTCGCAAGGCTCGCGCAGCCGAGTACATGTGCCCTCATTTCCCGTCTCTCATATCTCCAAGCGGACCTTGCCCGGTCTCCTGGTGAGCGGACAAAACGGCGCTTATGGTCATCGGCCAGGCGAGGTACGTGGCTAAATCTACTGGCTGGCAATGCATCCCTGTGCTCAACGTCCTTCAGTGCCAACCAATAGCCATCCCTATCGAAGACCAATGCAAGTTTGTGTACGAAACGTGTCCGACATCGAGCACATTCCTATCCGTTCCGTACCTCCACCTGTATTTCTGCGCCAGCCCCACCATTCGGCCCTTCGTATTCTTTGGTCTCGTGCTTTGGCTTGGCTTTCTGTTCTCCACCCTCGGCATTAGCACCTCGGACTTCTTCTGCCCCAATTTAGCGACGATCGCGCAACTTTTGAACCTGGACGAGCATGTCGCGGGTGTCACCCTCCTTGCATTTGGCAACGGCAGCCCCGACGTTTTTGCGACATTCTCAGCCCTGCGTACAAATGCAGGTAGCTTGGCCATAGGCGAGCTCTTAGGAGCTGCGTGCTTCATCATCTCCTGCGTCGTGGGTTCTATGTGCATCATCAGGCCCTTTCGGGTCAGTCGAGGCCCTTTCTTGCGGGACGTCACGTTTTTCACCCTTGCCGTCGCTCTTCTGCTTTGCATTCTTATGGATGGGTGGATACATGCGTGGGAAGCGGCTCTCCTTGTCGTGTTGTACGTCGCGTACGTCGTCACCGTGATTGTAAGCAGTTGGTGGGAACACAGGTCTGAGAGAAAGGCCCTATTGGAGACGCTGGTACGAAGTGAGTATGATGAGGACGGCATGCAGCCCTACCGGGACTTTGAGTCCTACCGAGATGACCGTGAGTATGATAACTATCAATATGCATGACTTGGTCTCATATGACGTCTAGCTACACACTCGCCTTCAAATTATCCTTTGTTATTCTCAGACACTGACCGGCCACACTTGACGTCGTTACCCCGCCTCGAACTGCAGACCCAAGCTTTGCATCCACACGCCCGAGACCCTCAACCCGACACGAGGTCACCATCACGATCCCCTCGCCTGACGACATTGCCATCTTTCTCCCTAGTCGGTGCGCTCGAATTTCGAAGCGTGATCTCGTCATTACAGCAAGACGCCGCCAGTACCTCGTTAGGCGCATTCGAGCCTCTCTTGACGCCGTACCCCGGCGGACATTACCACGGGTTTGGACATGCGCGATCGCGCTCACGCAGTTCCTTCCATAGCGGTGCAAGCACATATACGGATGCTTCATCTGACGTTCCACTGAGCGATCGGTCCCCATTGCCCCCACTGTCTTCTGTTCCAGCCGACGATCAGGGTCTTTCCTCACTGGGGGATCCCCTCATCCCCATGGACAGCGACCCCCTGTCACAGATTCCGGAGATTTCTCACATACCGGCGTCTCCACAACTCGATTCTAACGAGTCCCCGCATCATACCACAGATGCAACACGCTACCTAGGCGTTCATCATGTTCTCGCTTGCGCATCCCATCTCCTTTTCCCGACGCTGCACGAGTTCCACGCAAAGAATTTACTTGGAAAGGTTGTGGCTGTCTTTGCGGCCCCGAGTGTGTTTGCGTTGACTGTTACCCTTCCTGTCGTTGTGAGGTCTTACGACATCCCTGGCTATCGCTATGAAAAGACCCCGAGCGTAGTAAATACGCATTCCACCTTTGAGGAGGATGGAATCGAGCGCACTCTCGTCGCTGAGGAGGAGCCCGCGGAGATACATGAAATGCAGTTTAACAAGTGGCTCATGGCGATTCAATGCGCTTTTGGCCCGCTGTTTGTTACTGCTGTCCTTTTCAGTACGTTACATTCTCGGGTTTTCTCGACCCAAATCTCTGATCAGTTATGCAGAGGATTCTCCGCACGCGAGATGGTTCCTCTTGGGGATAGGCTTGGCGGGCCTTGCTGCCGGAATATCTGTGGTTTACTTCGCCGACAAAGGAGATCATCGGGGATGGGTATTAGCCCGCTGCTTGATGGGTTTTCTTGTCGCCGTGGTATGGATCATGGTCATTGCCGATGAGGTTGTCAATATTCTACAGGTAAGTCAAGTGAGGATAATAATGTGAGGCTTGATCTGATCTGATACTCGTAGACCTTCGGCTTTATTTTTGGACTATCGGATGCGATCATTGGTGTCACTGTATTCGCCGCGGGAAACTCAATCGCTGACTTGGTGGCTAATATGACCGTGGCTGTGCGTTTTCCTCGCCTATTCTGTGATATTCCATCCTCAGTTTACCCACTGGCAGGCGTTTGCCCCTATCATGGGTTTTTCGGCTTGCTTTGGTGGGCCGATGCTCAATATGCTGTTAGGTGTCGGCATTTCTGGCTCGTATTTCATCCACACCAGAGGTCAACCGTACAGGCTACATTTCTCCAATACCCTGCTCGTGAGCTCAGTTGGGCTACTTGCACTCCTCGTCACAACCATGATATTTGTTCCTCTGAACAATTATTTCCTCCCACGGAAGTGGGGGGTGTTCCTCATCTGCTTCTATGTAGTAATCATGGCGGTCAACGTTGTCGTGGAGATTCTTGGACTCGACTAGAACGCGTTGACGGTTAATGTGTTTGTCGTTCACTCTCTTCATTGCTCTCGATGCTTGAATAATGTTGATCTATGCCCGTGAGACGCCATTTGGTTGCATTGTACTACCTTTGTAGCTCTACAGATGCCCAATATTTATTCCGATTACTTGCTCCCTGGTTTGAATTCCAACATGTCGGCACCCCACCACCGAACTCCGCTTCACTACCCGCGGTTAAGTTGGAGGAGAAAGGCATACATCGCTTTTCATCTCTTTAACCAGCTCTTCACTTTCACTTCTTTCAATATTACCATCCTAGCTTATCCGCCATCTCCTATCGCAATTTTACCCCGCCATGATTCCTTTGATCATCCTCGCTGCATCTAGCTCTCTGGCGTCTGCATTTACTATCAATACGCCGTGAGTAACGGGTTTTTGTTCACTCAACCCGCCACGCTACTTACTCATATTCCCGTAGGACGAACCCAGTTGTCTGTCGTAAGCAGTCATCTCTACCGTCAACAGTCACAAATTGATTCGGTATCTAGAGCCCTTACAGTTTACATGGTCTACAGAGGGTTCCCAGTCACCATACTTCCTTTCCCTTCTCCCTGGTTCGACGTTCTTTCAGCTGTCTTTCCTCCTTAACGATGCTGACTGGCTACTCAGGAGGCCAGCCCACAGCACCGGCTGTAAGCTATTTTCTGTGTGCTCTTTTCGCTTTATTCATCCCGGTATTCACGTGTCACGTGTCTCGTTCCTTGCCGTAGTTTAAGCAATTCCCTCCGCAACAAGGCTCTAGCTACGTCTGGGTAGTCGACCTGGGAGTTGGAACAACTTTGTACGTGTGAAATGCAAAGTATTTCGTTCCTGATATACCCACGTCTACGCCAAAAGCACCGCCTTATTGAAGGACGGCAACGGCCAACAAGTGTACTCTGCACCCGCAACTGTTCAGAATGGGAGCGACACAAGGTACGGTGGTATAGGCAGCATCATGATTCCTGTTCCTGAATTCCGTGTCATTGGCCGTTGAAATTCTAGTTGTGTAAATGATGAAGTCATGGAGGGCAAGGGAGCGAGCGCCCCTGGGCCTGCTAGGTAGGAAGCGACTGTTTATAAATCTCAGCTTGACGATAATTTGCCTCGCAGCCTTGTGAATTCTTCACCTCAATCACCAGGAGTCGCCGCTATCAATCATGACGCGTCTTCGAATGCTGCGGCCGCATCTGGCAGCACGGCATTCTCTTCTGCGAGTGCTGCATCTGCCAGTCTCAAGTCTGCGACGACGACGACGACAACGAAGCCATCGAGTGGTGCGTTACCGAGCCAGACTGTGAAGTCCAACTCGGTTGCCCTAGACGTATCATCTGGGGCTATTGTTGGGATAATGTTTTCAGTGGGACTGACGAGTATTCTGGTTTCTTTGGTTATTTGAGCTTGCGAGGGAGCGGATACAGACTACTTAGATGTATGTATATGACGATACCCATGAATCAAGTCGCGGAGTTTTAACGGATCTTCATGCCAAGCCGAGTCGGGGGGTTTTTTTTGGAATCGATTTCTGTGCAGCTCGGGGCACAGAACCCCACGTAGCACTTGTACAAAAATAGAGCCGTAGTGTGTGATGTAAAGGTATGGGTCCTAGTAACTATTCTGCGTTCCTCCCCCGAGACCACTAGGTCTGCGTTATGTGACAGAACTTCGGCGTATATGGCGAGCGCGACGCTGGCGCGCCAGCCTGGCAGGATACAGTAGTATCGTCTCGACATTGAAGAGAACGCTGCCCTACTAGCCGAGTCGGTTGGCTGTGCGATTGCGCCTCTCAACCTGGCTGCTCTGATTACGCAGTCTTGCCGTATGCCATCCGGTCATCTCGCCCGGCGCCACACGGCAGCTTCACTTTGTCCTCCCAGGAGCTGCTATCACCTACTGGTTGCGTACCCCATCTATACAACTAGCCCAGGTCGGGGCAGATGCGGCCTCTCTCAGGCTTGCCTGGTTCGTTTTTGTCTCTTTTAGGCCGCCGTTTCGAACGACACACTTTGGTGACATACGTCGATCGAACCGT